TCGGTTCTCCTAGATAGCGTGCTTTCCTAGCGGTTTCCAGAAAACTCGAAGTTGGTGGTTGTGCTAAGCTAACTTATTATTATTATTATTATTATTATTCTAGTTTAACGTCCTTTTTCAGCCCGAAGGGCTATATAAGACGTGTAGGGTTCTTAGGCCTACTAAGCTAACTTAAATAGTATAGGAAAAAAGCCACTAGCAAGAATCTACATATATACGTAGCAAAATACAAGTAGAAGATAGGAAAGCAAATCGCTATTCTTAGCAATAATAGAAGAGAGGTTTCTAGCGCTTTCTACTAACTTAAACTAGAGCACTATTACCTAAGGGACTACCTATATAAGAGAGGGAAATGTAAGAGGCTACGCCTAAAGTGTGTGTGTGATCGAGTATATCTATACGACTACCTAGACTTCAAGAAGCTTGAAGTCTTGTTACTGCCTTTTTGGCTATGGATGGCGTAAGTAGTCGTACGCTCGGCCCGTTGGGCCCGCCCATTACAGGAAAGTGGATTCTAATAGTTACACCTGTAACTATAGGTCTATATAAGACCTACCTTATATTCTATTTAGATGTAATCTATATAGAGAGGAAAGAAAAGGACTAAGAGAAGCCTATAAAGGCAATTTATTACTACCTATCCTCCTTTAAATAAAAGAGGGTATAGAAGCAACTATTACTTTTATTTAAGAAACAAAGGCTAGAATATAAGCCTAGTACAAAGGAAATATAGAAAACGAGAAGTAATACCTGTAATAGGTAGCTATACACCTCCCCTACCCTATCTCACCCCCTACCTACTAACTAATAGGCTACAAGCCTCACCTTTATCTAGTTAAAACCCCTCCTAAATATCGTAGCTAGAAACAACCTACTTAGATACTTGTAGGCCTAAAAACCCTACACGTCTTATATAGCCCTTTAGGCTGAAAAAGGACGTTAAACTAGAATAATAATAATAATAATAATAATAATAATAATAATAATAATAATAATAATAATAATAACTAATTCTAATTGCCTTTTAGCCTACTAGTGTAAGTGTTCCTGTGAATTCCTAGTATGACTTTGGCACATACTAACCTTTTTCTTTGCTCACAGTGAATGATTGAACATTCAACACGAGTACACCTTTGACTGCAAGATATATATAGGTATTGTAGTGAGGATTAAAAGCCGTGGAGGACAGTAAGCGTTCGATTGATGCATGGAGTTCTCTACGGAGTTTCAGCTCGGCCAATTGTCCGCGGGTTCCAATCACTTGGAAATATCTGGGTTAGCGTAAGGGACTGCGTTTTTATATCTCCACAGGTGGTTGTGTTAAATTGCATATATAGTATGAATAGTTTTATTGAAGACTATTAGAATGATTTACAAGAAGCCTTTCTTCAACAGCGAATCTCCTTGCTTCTCATACTTCTTTTTTGAACAAGATTGGAAGGAGGTCACTTTGTTGTCCCTATATTTAGCCTAAGTGACAAGCGAATAAGTCATGGTTGTTAATTATCACACCATTTAGGATTGTACAGAGAGCCTTAGCAAAATATATACCACGCTACATAACAGCTTTGAAGCTGTATGATGAACAGCAAAGTGATTGTCCCTTACTTCTTTCTTCATCCTCTTCTACTTGTAGCGTCTTTAGAGCTTCAAGTAATATTGCCCTAAACTCAAAATTAAGATATCGTGAGTGCAATTTGCAAGCAAAATAGACTGAATTATACACAGCTCATCTAGGCATGAATCAGGAGGTAGAGAGTGTTTGATGAGAAGATGCGACATCGAGATTCAAAGTGGGGTGAGTGAGCATGGGGTGCTCTGGTGCTAGCGCGCCGAGCTAAGCAGGACGCGTTTTCTTCGCATCCCACGCGACATTGCCTGGTACCCCACATTCGCGCAACACCAAGACATCCAACGCGATTGCTTCCACATTGCATTCTCAGCGAGCCTCGCTCTGCACTGCAGCATGCTTGACATTCACCGCGCCGATCCAGCACAGGATTCGAAAGTCTACTTCACTCACAGCGTCCTGCCTTCGTACATTGACCCGCAAAATGTCACCACAAAAAAGAAGCCATTCTCGACATTCAACAAGCAAAAGTTCAGCCACAACTTAGACCTGATCCTCCCAGAAGAGATATATGAGCTTGTCAGGGACGAATTGAGGCGAGGCGACGGCCCGGCAAGAGCACAGTATGCACGAGTACACATGAAGCTTGGGGAGATGCTCGAGGGAGACTTTTTGGATGGGTATATCAAACAGGGAAACATCGCGATGCTTAGCGAAGGCCGGCCACTCGTTGATGATCGATTTGAGCTATATGAGGGCGTCTTACGTATGGAACTCACACGTCCGACGTACGAACGGTGCGGTCTCCAGGGAATACCAATCGAAGATGGCGGAAAGAAACACCAGAAGCAATGCTGGGTTGTCGAGTATGACTTGCGCGCGAATTCCATGAAGCATGGCAAGAAAGGGTTTTCGAGACTGGAGTGGGCATGCAAGAATGTTCTCAACCGCTCGCTCACGTGGCTGTTCTACAACTTTAACCCCTCGTCCGCCGAGTCGCTCTCTGAGGGCAAGGAGCCTATTTCAAAGCATGCGCCTTGGTTACATGAGATTGCACCAGAGCAGTCAAGTATACAAGAGGTACTTGTGCCGCGTTTTTCACCTGGCGACCTTACAGAGTTGTGTGCTGAAGATACGCTTGACCTGCTAGAGTACATGCACATGTTGAGCTTGGATTCGCCTCGTGTCAACAAAGGAGACGACATAAACCCACACCTATCGCGGTACGAGGTACCGGACTTTGGCAAAGGTATCGGGACGGACCGCGTTGTTGTAGTACGATGGAAAGGATTTATCCCCCCAGCTTTTGTTCGCAATGTCTTCCTGGCCGTCCGAAAAGAGACATTCAAGAACAAGAAGCGACGCGGCGCAAACCAAGAGGGAGACATCAATATGGAAGATAATAGCACAATGGAAGGAAAGCAGAAAGAGTGGTTCTCCATGAGTGCGCAGGCTTTCGGAGGCAAAAATGCCTGGACAGTTATGCAGTCCACGGACCGGCAGACACTGACTTGGGAGATTGAGAGTACAACTGGAAGCTAGGGGATGCACTTCAATCCTGATCCTTCCAGCGTGAGTCGTATGACTCTCGTTTGTCACCAGAAAAGAATGTGTTGAACAACTCCGGTCCTCCTTACCCACCAGATGAGACCTCGCTTCGAGTGCAGGAGTTGACCTACAGTCCGCGGAGTGCAATTATCGCCGAGCACGCCGTGACATGAATGTACTACCGCCTCTTCAAGATTATGCAGCAACCTCACCTCATACTGTTCTCGAAGGATGCTCGAACCTGCAACATGGACGCAATGGCTACGACGGCCCCAAAATTGCCTCCAGTGTTCTCTTGGGTTACTGCAGATGGGCTTGCACTCTGGTTAGCACTCATGTCCAGCCAATACTATCATGCATCTATTGACGGTGCTCAACGCGCCATCGGCGATGGCATCGTGTCTTCCCCTAATCCATCTTGATGCTTGCTAAGACATCCTCAGCATGACAACTGTACGTGCACATCGATCACTGGGAATTCAATAGTATTAGCCTAGGTGGAGTCGCTGGAATTGGAAGGGCCTAGGCATCTAGGACTAGGACCCGCACAACTTGCCGACTGTGTGCCCAGGGTTGCTGCAGCTATTACTCGCGACTTATGGGAAATTTCCAGTAGGATGGATAAAACATTGCAGAATTCGCGAGATTCCTGCGCAGAATGTCCCATTCAGGATTGTCAGATTCCAGGGTCGCAGAGCTCGCTCGGAGGCCATTCGGGGATCAGAAAATGCCACAATCATAGCCCGAGACATGGCAGTCGGGTCAGAGTCGAGGGCAAGAGAAAATCAAAGTTTACGAGGAGAAACAGTCAGCACAGCCCTCGCGATGTAGCAATAGGGACGGCTCGGTGTGGAGCTCATGAGGCTGAAGTGGCGACCAATCTCGTACTCAGGTCCTCACACCGTATGTTGAGAAGATGCAAGCCAGAATCCTCATGGAGAACCATCACCTGAGATATTCTCTGGTGGACACAACCCTTGCACAGTGCAAGTCCATATGCCACCAACCAGTGGCAACCACGCCGCGCGCGGGACTATGTCATCCACAAGGACTAGTGGGCTGACCCAGGTAGAATACCAGATGTGGTAAGGCCCATACGAACCCCACGGAGGCCGTCGAGATCTGCATCAAGATCTAAGTATAGGGCAACACGATCGATCCACACTGACCGGTGTAGCAGCTTTTTTCTTTTGCTATTTGTCAGTCTTGGTGTGCGCGCTCTGTCTCTCCAGGATGTGAGAGACGGGGGCGTTTAGAAGCGGCTTTTTTTGTCGGACGCCTTAAGGGCTTTTAGGTAATCAAGCCCACTACGAAGTGTGATTGGCAAGTCGACTCTCGGCACATGGCTACGCAAGACCCTGGCATGTTGGTTTTTTGTTCTCGATCCCTCGCCGCATCGCCAATTACATTATGGGTTGCTTCGACAAACAACAAAAACATCAGCAGAAAGAGAAGGCCGTGTTGGTGGACGCAAGTGCGCTTCTCATCTCGAGCCACCAACGAATCATAGCGCAGAAACTGGACAGACTCGTATGCTAGTTCTTAACAGAGTCGGAAATAATAATGGCGACTCCAATATGATTGTCATGCTTGGGTCGAGAGGAATCCTGGCGTTTCGCCTTCAAGGGCCCAATGAGAGCAGGCTGGAACAGTCGCCGAATGCACCAGCCAGGACCTTGGCAACCGCTCGGATTTCACATGCCCAGCGATCTTCCCGATCCGCACCCCTAGCAGGAGCTACTATAATTGTACGAGCGCCAGAGGGCATGAGCATACTGAGGGATGGTGAAACAAGGGGTCTGGGGAGGCTCAAAGACGTCATTGTCATGGTTGAGAGTTGAGAGTGTCTTGTTCCCATCTCTCTCATCACCATGATCACCACGACGACCATGGCATGATTCCTACATGCATCCCACGGCGAAGGAATCCCGCACCGCCCCGGAGGAATATTGGCATGTCGGGTCTGACATGGCATTTCTTGGCAAGATCCTCTGAGCCGAGGCAGCGGCCATGTTGTTTGTTGGGGGGCATGTGTATGATACGAGCGGGACTCAGAGCGTTGTATCGCACGATAGATACGAAGCGGGCAAATGCACACATGTTAGGCATCGGTTGGAGCGGGAAGCGCAAAGTCCAAGCCCAAGTCAGAAAAGGCGCGCGCGACTCATGGGGCTGTGCAGCAAGCAGTGGCAGTTTTGGTGTTTGGTAGCGAAGGAGGAAATTCCAGGCTCGCACTCGCGCTTATGGCTGCTAAGCCCGGGCCTAAGCCTTGCTGATGGTCCAACAGAAGGTTGGTTTCGCAAAGATCAGATTAGTCGAGTGCTTGTCGGTCTGGTGCCGGCGAAGGGCGGATATCTCAGGCGTGCATCTACTCATGCCAGGGGTCGCTGCTGAATCGTGGCAGGGGAGGGGCCAATCCACGATGGGGCCATGATGGCGATCCGCAAGCCTGCAATGAGATGTGTGTGTGAAGAGGCGGCAGGGGGGCCATGTGAGATTGAGAAGTCGAGGTTGTGGAGCGACAGAGAGAGGCATTCGTACGAAGTAGAGTTTTTTTGTCCAGCACGCCTGACTGACTCTGCTGGATTCCCAGATGCCGATTCGTCAAGCCCTGGGACGCCACAAATAAATCCCCCCCGGCCTCTCACTCGCCCACACACGTGTGCGGCCTGGATTACTTGCACCAAGACACCTAACGTACACGTACACGTACACGCAGGAACGCAGCAATTGTCACAGTTTAGTCGTCGCAGTCAGACGGGCACACTAGATGTGCCGCTACTGTTATCAATTCTCACGCCAATCGCCTCCCGCTGCCGCACTTAGTTCCTAGCACTACGACGCCACGCCACGACGTCGTTGCCGCTTTCGCCCGTTTTACGCGATTTGGAATCGGCCAAAAGAAAAAAGATTCATCGTTTTGTTCATCAGCGCCAGGCGGCTGGCTCCGGGTACGCGCGCCGAATACCTACGGTAGTTTGAACTTGAAAAAGATTGCCAAGACGATGGTGGGGATGGACTACGGACGTCGGAGAGGAGATCCAGCCGTATCCATGTCGTTTGTCGTTTGCACCCATGCTGGCGATCTTCCACGCACATTCATGCGCATAGTGATTGACTTGGGCTACATATGTAGGTGGTAGGTATATCATCTTTCTTTTGTTGTTGTTATTGTTATTATCGCCTTGTCCTTGCGCCACAGCCCTGTTCTACCCTGGTATCTAATATGTACTCCTACTTTTGTGCGCATTCAGCTCAGGTACCCAGGTGTATGGATGGCATGGGGATGGAGCGCATGTGTGCTCACGCCACTCAGCCACTTGTTGCAGCGCATATCGCCTAGCGAGACACGATTGCAGCTGGGTATCCTGCGACGATGCGTTTTTCTTTCCTGACCTGGCTGGATCTGGGTTTTTTTTTCGCTTCGGAATAGCGAACGCGCGCGAGGTGGAGGAGGAGGCGCTGCACCACCAACTACCACCAACTACCCAACCACCACCACCGCCGCCGCCGCCGCCGCCGCAGCCAGCAGGCGGCAAACGTCAGCACGATCCAAGCGCTCACTCGTGTTTTTGTCCCCCTTCCGCCCGTTTCTGCGAACGCTATGCGGCGAAGTGCTGATGCCCGCGCAGTGATGCTGATGCACGTGGGGGTAGCGTCTTTTTTTCCTTCACTCCCACGTGCCATAAACCTAGTGTTTCTGTTGCCTGCCTACGTACCCTTTTCTTACATGCTTGTGTGGGATAATGGGCCAAACTAAGTAAGCAATTGCGTCGCACACAAGCACTGCGGCTGCACATAATACTAATAAGACCAACACACGTATACACACAGCCTTGTACCACGAGCCAGGATTTCGGTCGCGTGGCCGGACCCGTCGCCCTTTGCGACATGGGGGACTGCAGCTAGCAAACCCCCCGTCTCAGCAGCAAAGGCAGCACAAAGGCAAGCAAAAAATATTGTTCCGCGGGGATAATCATGACAAGGTATGTATCCCTCGTGGGTCATGGTTTTATTTCTCCATATGGCTTAGTTGCAGAAACAAGCCCGTTCTGGTCTTTTTGCTTTGCTTTCTTACGTTTTTCTTTTTTGCCTTTGCTCGTCCATGCTCATGGGTAGCTTTACCGCGCGTGGAGGATTTCCAACCCTGTCCATCAAAGGATTCGTGGGTTAACCCGTTTTTGAAGCCCCCCCCCTCCCTGGGCGGATTTTCAGCTCCCAGGTTTCTGCACAGCTGAGATGGGGGCTTGTCCTCATGCAGGGCCTTTCCTCTCTCTGTCTCTCTGTCTTCTTTCGTTTTCATTTTCTTGCAGGGTCAAGCGAGCCAAGTTGCGAGGCGAGGCGAGGCGAGGCGAGACGAGGCTAGACGAGGGCAGCGGTATGCGTCATCTCACCGTCCGTATGGCTGTTTCCACCATGTGCCCTTTTATTTTCCTTATTCCGAATTTTATCCTACGCGACTCGCTGCGGTGAACGGCGACGCGTGGCGCATGCAAGCACATGTACATTCATGACTCCACAAGGCAAGCGATTGGAGCTCACAGCACAGCACAAGGTCTAGTGTGGATAGATAGGCGTTCATTTGGTCATTATGTACAGTACAACTAGGTAATAGACAGTATCGTGATATGCATGTTGATATGCATGTAAGCAGGCATTTCGGCGCTCAGTAAACAGAAACAATACAGCAAGGTACAGCAAAGCGAAGTAAAAGCAAAACAGACACACAAGGGACAGCAGCAAGTGTGTCCACAATTAGCTACATTTTACCCCGTCCTCAGCTCCAGTAGTGCCCGCCATTCTTCTTGCAGGCTGTGATTGATGCCGGGGGCGTCACCGTCGTCGTCTTGGTATACGTTGCGCCGAACGTAATCACCTTTGTCGTGGTAGCGTACCCGAGCTTGAGCTTGGTCTTGGTGGGGGTGGGCAGGGTAGTCGTCATGGTCAGGATGCCCGAGAGCACCGTGGGAGCCGGGATGGTAGATGTGCTGGTGGTGCTCTCGAGAACAGTCTCGGTGGTGGTGGTTGCATCGGCCGTCAGTGTCGTCGTTGTCGGCACCGGCGTGTCGTAGGTAACCGTGACGGTGGGGGCATCTGGGGTGCGGCGTTGCAGTGCTTCTGCGCGCCTTTGCTTTGCGGCTTCGACGCGCGCCCGGGCCCATTCGTAGTCGACTTCGCGGTCGCTGCGCGGGCTGAAGCGGCGCCACTTGGGGATTGAAGTGGGCGTCACCAGCGCGGCGGGGTGCAGCTTGGTAGGCGAGTACTCGCACGGCTTGTCGGGCTTGCCTGTGTGTTCTGGTGTGGTGCAGGTTGCCGTGACCGTCTTGGTCGTGTAGCCAGTCACCTTGGTTGTCGAGACCTTTGTGCGGGTCATGGTCTTGGTCGACGTGGTGGTGACGGCCTTGGGAGTCACCGTCTTGATCTTCTTGGCTGTGCCGCTGGGCATGGTGACGGTCGAGAAGGGACCGGTGGTGATGACGTCGGTAAATGTCGTCGTGGTCATCTCAGTAATGGTGGGCGTCGTGGTGATGCTCATGGTCAGTGTTGGCGTGTATGTCGTGGTGATTTGCGGGCCCACGGTCAAGTAGAGATCTACAACGCATAGTCAGCACAGTGGGTATGGGCAGAAGACGCGGAAAACATACCTCTCTGCCATGCAAAAGGCTGGCCCCCCTTGCCATTGTTGCCCAGAACCAGAAGAAGCCAGTGTCCAGAGCTCATCTGGTTCTTCTTGATGGGACATGTGGACATCTGGTTCTGGTTGTCTGGCGTAGTGGGAATCCGCTCACACAGAAATTCGGTTTCCCCAGGAGTGTCTTCAGGTGCAACGAGGAGCACATCAGCCATGTCCTGGTTGCAGCCCTTGAAGTAGGAAACGGCAGTGAAGTCGTCAGTGGACTCGGAGTTGATGAAGTAGCTGCCCTCATCGACAAAGTCCACGCCGTAAGAGTAGCAAATGTCTTCCGAGCGCACAAACGAAAGCGAGGCCGCAGCGGCCGTGAGAAAGACAAGGCGAGAGTGCATGGCGACGGTGTTCTGGGCAATGCAAGCAGGCAAGCGAGCGAAGTGATGTACACACGAGAAGTAGTGGTCTTCCAAGCCAACGGGCCAGCGAGTCTTTTGTACCCGAACGGTCGCCAGCAAGAGGCAACCGTTCGTCAGGAATAGCCTCTGTCTCGCGTTTCTCTGACTGCGTCTGCATGGCCGAGTAAGTCGGCTTAGACGCAGAGGCTGCCATGACGACTTGCTTTGTATGTCCCAAAGCAGGCTAGCCGCGCACCGCAGGAACCGGGGCTCGAGCGGCGGCAGACAGCAACACGACGTAAGCGTGGCAGCGCGTGGTAGGGAAGCATATCTATTGAAACGCGGGTCCATGGAGGTCCCCAAAGCCACGGCGGCCGCTCGAGCCCACGGTAGGCCTATTAGGGACGCGATCTCACATGAGGAACTTATGGGCGGGCGGGCGGGCCACTTGTAAGGCGCACTGGTAGAACGAACCATGCACAGGCAGCCTGCAGGCTAGAGGTAAAAAAGCACCAAGACTGCAGGCACCGAGGCCCGTTATTGGCGTAGCTACACCGAGTCAGGCACTAGATGGCGCCGCATGAATCCGGCGGTGCGGGCGGTCTGTCGAGTGGCGGGATCGGCGACTGTTACCAAAATAGCGCTTTTGCGGTGGAGTGGAGTGTAGCGGTGGTACGAAGGGGCCTGAGACAGGCGCATAGCATTGTGACCATGTTGAGAGTTTGGCCCTGAGTAAGGCTGACGTACCATGGAGTTACCCATTGTGGCTTACGGCGAGAGGTGAGGCTGTATGACGAAACAGGACGCTCTAGCGGGTCCGACTCAGCCCACCAGCCAGGGACGCAGCAGAGGCATTGTCAGCCCGGCGGGTTCCAGGGTGCATGTGTTGTTGTTGCTGGTGCTTGGCGGGCCGTGGCTGCCTGCAGGGCGGCGCTGAGCTCTGCTGGGCCTGCTGTGTGGCGGCTCGATATTCATAGTGCTGAGGGGGCCCAGTTGAAGGGGAGTGGGCGTCCACGTCCGCAAATAGCAGCGTGGGCAAACGTGGAAGCATGGGGGAATACGGGCTCCAGGACAGTTGTGGCTGGCCATGGCCAAGCGAGGCTCGACTATCAATACAGCAGCTGGGACAAGGTAGGTGGTGTAGGGACGATGCGGCGGACGTCGGGGTCGGGGCCGGGTGGAGTGACGTGAAGGTAAGATGGATGGGGGTCAGGGGTCAAGGGCCTGGGGGTCGGGGGGCGCTAACCACGGCGGCGGCGCGCACCAATCCCGAGTGGCTTGAGCACTAGCGGCGGGACGTCGCTGGCCCGTCCGCCGCCGCCGCCCAAGGCAAATGGTGGTGAAGGCAGAGGCATGTTTCTGCCAAGGCTGGCCTCAGATATCGGCAGCGGTGCATGATTTGACTCCCTCCCCCTGCAACCTTCTGGGGACGACCGTCTTACGCGAGTGTCGGGATTAGTAGGCTCAGAAAAAGATCCAACACAAGGTCAAGTGCTCATCATTGACCGATCGTGGTAAGTCTATACCGCCACAGAGGCAGTGATGGTTCCAGACTTACAAACCCAAAAGCCCAATCCGCGTCTAGATGCTTAGCTTGCCTGATATGCTGGAATCACCGATTTCGCTTGACTGTTGTTCAACTGCCGGCATGCTCGTGACTGGTCCGCCACAGTTTCTGGTCCTCAGCTGCTCGCTCAATGAATCTCTGGGATGACCAAAGTCGCCGAATCAACAACAAAAGAATCGTTTCATTTGTCTTGGCATACCGAGTCCGCTCGTATACAGGTGTGGAGACACAAGAATGCCACGAGACCATACGCTATCCGACCATTTGGTCCATACAGGGGCCAAACTACAAGGCCACCGTAAGCGAACAGGTGTCGGTGACATGACAAGGGGTCCGGCTGAATTGCCTAGGGACGACGTCTATCAACAGCTCATATAAATTCTATCTCAACGCTGGCCGCATCTATCTTGCATCAATCCAGTCCACTGCTTCTTGATCACTCGTTGGCCTGGTCAGCACTTGCTTGTGTATACTGACTAAATTTTCGCTCTTTCCCGCATTCTTACATTGCCTTTGAGCAACCATGTTGCTACAATCCTTGGCCGTTTGGCTCTCGCTCGGATCACTTGCGATAACCAGCCCTTTACGGGCCGAACCGTTGGCAAGCTCTGACGAATTTCCCTCTTTTGAAGAGATTGTCAAGAGGCAGGACGGCGCGTGTACCAATGGGCCACGGACCAGAAGCTGCTGGAGCGCTGGCTACAGCATTGCCACTGACTTTGATGCCAAATCTCCTCCTGATGGAACTACTGTCACTGTCAGTATACTAGATAGCCGTTTTTGAACACATACTAACGGAGTCATAGTACAACCTTGAAATCTCTAATGTCACCAAGCCAAACCCTGATGGGAGTGGTGGTAGTAGGCAGATGATGCTCATCAATGGCCAATATCCAGGACCAACTATCCGAGCGAAATGGGGCGACACTCTGATCATCAACGTCAAGAACAATCTCGCGCACAACGGAACCGGCATCCACTGGCACGGTATCAGACAGCTCAACTCGTGTCAGGACGACGGAGTTCCGGGTATCACCGAGTGCCCCATTGCTCCTGGAAAGACTCGCCAGTACAAGTTCAGGGCCACCCAGTTTGGCACATCTTGGTACCACTCCCACTTCTCGGCCCAGTACGGAGATGGCGTCGTCGGCACCATGATCATTGACGGGCCAGCCACTGCCAACTACGACGTCGATCTTGGTGTTTTGCCCATCACCGACTGGTACTATACTCCGGCATTCACTCTGAACGAGGTGGCGCAGCACTCCAGAACTGGACCTCCTACAGCTGACAACATCCTCGTCAACGGCACTCATATCAACTCGTTGAATGACAATGGACAGTATGCTCGCATCAACGTGGTCAAGGGAAAGAAGTACCGCATCCGTATAATCAACACCGCAGTCGACAATGTCTTCAGCGTGTCCATGGACGGCCATCCTTTTACAGTCTTGACTTCCGACTTTGTCCCCATCAAGTCTTTCGTTACCGACCAGTTGACCGTGCAGATTGGTCAGCGCTACGACGTGGTCATCACTGCCAACCAAACCGTTGACAACTACTGGTTCCGCGTATCCATCGGCACAGCATGTAGCAGAAACGCCATGGCGACCTCTACCAAGCAGATAGGTGCCATCCTACATTACGACGGCGCTTCCACGACGGCAAACCCCACATCCACATCTACCGTGACCCCGCGCACAGGCTGCGATGATGAGGCCTCTACGAACCTTGTGCCTTTTGTGCCCAACTCGGTCCCTTCATCCGTAGTCGGCGAGGCCAAGGACCACAAGATGGAAGTCAACTCGTTCTCTGACCCAGCCAAGGACAACCTCTTCCGCTGGCTCATCGACGGCACACCACACATTGTCAACTGGAACAACCCCACTCTGGAGACGGTCCTAGGCGGCTCCACAAACTTTGGCCCCAACGAAAACGTCCGCACCATGAACGGTACTGGCTGGTACCTTTGGTGGATTCAATCTACCTCTCAGATTGCGCTGCCTCACCCTATCCATCTCCACGGCCACGACTACTACATTGTCGGCCGCGGCACCGGAACCTGGGATGGCTCCACCACCGGCCTCAACTTTGACAACCCCACCCGCCGCGACACTGCTGTCCTGCCCGCTGGCGGCTACATGCTGATTGCCTTCCCCGCCGACAACCCCGGCATGTGGATCATGCATTGCCACATTGCCTGGCACGCCAGCCAGGGCCTCAGCATGCAATTCATGGAGCGTATGAGCGAAATCAAGGGCAGCCTGGGTGACACGAGCACCTTGACCAACGGCTGCAATGACTGGGACTCTTACTGGCCTGAGGGCAGCTCTCCTAGTGGAAACAGGCCTTATGACCAGACCGATTCCGGTATCTAAGTTTCTGTATAGATGGTCTTTTCTCTTTTTCATTCTCTCTTATCGTATATACACTCTTCTCATCTCTTTTCCTGCTTACTTTTCCTACCCGTCATGCCTGTTTCCTTTACCTTTCCAAGATGAATAATCACGAATAAGGAGATGTTTTTTTTGTGGAAACGGAGCTGGAAGGAAGCATTTAACATGCTTCTACATATATGAATTTAGTATGGTTCTACGTGCATTCTAATATGCTTCTAACGTGCAATTGACATGTCTCTAACACGTTTGTGATGTTTGATTTCCGCATTTGATCAAAAAGAAAGAAACAAAGAAAGAAAGACGGTTAACGTATGTGGCAAGCGAGCGCCGCACCCCACCAAACCTGCGCACCTCTATAAGCCTGTAGTTCCACCACAATATAGTTGTTTTACTACATATTAACATAATAGATTAAGCAGTACCTAGAGTATCTTTCTTGCACGTACGCGAGTTATGGCCAGTCTCTCTGCACCTACTACAGCGCGCCAAAGCCTGGCGGCTAACACCTGATCGCTCTCCTCTCTGACGCTCTTCATGAGCAATCTGCTGATCAGCCTCGCGCTGAGCGAGTAGATCCTCTCCAGCTCCCTTTGTAAGTACTCCTCGCTTCTGTATCCGCTTTTTCTTACGCTGCCTACGCTTTGTTGCTGCCTCATTAGCCCTCTCAAGGCTGGCGAGCCGATCGCGCATTAGCTCAGCCGAGAGCATCATTATCTCTGCCCCCTTCTTAAGCTGGCCAATTGCCGCAATAATTGACGCTAGTGATGA